TCAACTTTTGGTGTTGTAGAGGACCTGTACCCAGGCCTGGGGGAAACATGGGCGCAAGGGCAGGACCTGCCCTCAGGAGTCACAGCTTCCTTGGGAAACCAAACCCAGCACACCTGAAGCCAAGAGTACATGAGGCATTAGTCCAGTTTCTGGACAAGATAGATGATACTGGCCATTTGGAGAAGACCAGGATGTGTTCCCATGAGTGAGGCCAAGGAAGACTCCCTGCAGGAAGCAGGGTCTGACCTGAGCCTTAAGGGATTGGGACAGGCGGAGGGCAAGTGGAGACATTACACAATGGCAGAAGAGCCTCGGACTAGGGGGTGAGTAGGGGTTGGAGGAGCAGCGGCACCCAAGCAGATCATCACTCCAGCTACCGGCGCCTGTGGCTGCCAGGGTCAGCCAACCCTGAACCAGTGGCTCCCGCAACACCTATGTGAACAAAATGTTCTCTCTAATCGTTCACGGTAACAGTGGGCACCGGAAAGGACAATGACAGCTAGGCATACTACCAGGACCTCCAGGAAACTTAGGTGCTGGCCATAAAGACTCCTGGGAGAACCAGCCCTCTGTGCCTTGCCCTGACCAGTGAAGACATTCTGAAGGGCCAAAGGTTAGGACCCCTCGATGCAATGCTGGGTCTTGAGGGCTCGGTTTTAATGTGTTCTCACAAATCTCCTCAGGCATTGTCCCTCCTTCATCTGAATTCTGACAGCTGCAGTCCCAGCAAGCCCATAAATGTGACCCTTGGTTGTCCCAAAGCCTGTGGGCTCCTCCTCCAGAAGGTGGGAACAGGCGTGGCTTCTGGCATGGGCGGGGCCTGAGTTCAGTCTGGGGATCTCACGATCTGCCCCCTCCTTTCTGTTCTTCCTCCACTCCGGGGTCGGCCAGTTCTCTCCACATGATCCCTTTTGGGGCTCCCTCATCTTTCCACTCCACACTCCTGCTTTCTCTTCGGTATTGGGGCGGACCTCACCACCCCCAACCTCTCTGGGTCTCCATGCCAAAGCCATCAAACCCTGTTTGCCTCACTCTTTCCTTCTTACCCACCCAAGTACCCATCCTGGCTCGGCACCGTTCTCCACATTTACTCTTCCTGTTCTCATGAGCACAATCCACGTCCCCTTTTCGGAAATACTTCCCCTATTGCCCTCTCTTTCTCACACAGAGACAAACAAAGACTCACAAGCCCAGAAATAGACTCCCACAGAGCTGAAAGACACAGGCCGTGTCCTGCCCCACACGCACGCGCGCAGGCACAGCGGCTCTTGTGGAGGGAAGCACACAGACCCGGCGTTTGTCAGTGCACGCACATAAACATCCACACCCACAGCCACTGCGCCGTGCCACAAAAGGGTGCAGACACACGGTGTGCGAGACAAGGGCACACACATCTTGCGGACGCCCGGGAACCCGCCTAGCCCGGCACACCCACCGCGGCCGGCCCTGGGACAGGAGCAAGGCCTCCTCCGGGCTCGGGCTCCCCCCCAGATTCCTTCCAGCAAATGTTTCCCTACTTGGCCTGCCTGGTCCCTGGGGAAAGGGCCTCAGAAATGCGGCAGGAGCCACTTGGGGGAAGAAAGTTGGAACTGCTTGTTCTCTGCCTGGCCCTGTCGGCGAATTCCCTAACCAAGAAACTATTTGTGGCGAAGGCAGGGTGGCCGGCGAGCCCCCTGTCACCTCCCCCGGTGCTCCCTCCCCGTGTCGCCACCGGTGGGCCTCCGGCGGCCTGGGCGCTACGCCGCTGCCCATCTCACAGCCTCCGAGCGGATCGGCTTGGCTTGCAGCTTATCTGCGCCGTTTGGACCACTCGGGGTGCACGGGAGGGCTGCTCTGTCCCCGCCGCGTCGCAGGCAGACCCCGGGCCGCCGGACTATTTCTGTCTTATCAGTGCAGGAATGCGGCAGCCGCGGCGGCGGCGGCGGCGGCGGGCGGGCGGCGGCGGCGTGGGCCGTGGGCCGTCAGGGCAGCCCTGAAGGGGCCCCCTCCCCACTCCGCTCGAGTAGAAGTGTGAGAGAGCCCAGCAGGACTCAGAGGGGAGAGTTGGAGGAAAAAAAAGGCAGAAAAGGGAAAGAAAGAGGAAGAGAGAGAGAGAGTGAGAGGAGCCGCTGAGCCCACCCCGATGGCCGCGGACGAAGTTGCCGGAGGGGCGCGCAAAGCCACGAAAAGCAAACTTTTTGAGTTTCTGGTCCATGGGGTGGTGAGTGGGGGAAAGTTAGCGGGGGAGGGTGAGCGAGCTGGCTCGGGCTGAATGGAGGGATGATCGGGAGGGGCCGCCGGCGCGCTTCGGCTCTCCCACCTCTTTGGTTGGGGGGCGCACGGTCATGGCCCAACCCTGGGACCTTGCTGGCGCCCTGGCATCCGAACACGTCGCCAAGCGGTCGGCTGGGGATGGGCGCGCGGCGGCGGGGAAGAGAGGCGTTGCGTCTGCTTGGGCTCTTGTCAGGGGCAAGGGGTGGGATGTGAGCACTGTGTCCCCCCCAAGAGGTGGGTCTCTGTAGCTGACACGTCGCCTGTTCTTTTACTGGTGGCCCCAGGTGTTACCCCTGCCCTGCGGTGGGGGTGGGGTGGCAACTGGAACACACAACTAGGGTTGGGCTGCCTGTTGTCCCTGTTCATCCACTGGGACAGTGTCACTCTGACTGGCTCTGAGGAACTAGGAGCAGGTGACCCTGGAGGCACCTGAGAGCAAAAGCTCTCTGAATGAGCAACCTCAGCATCCTAGCAAGAGGGTCCTGAGGACCTGGCCCTGCTGTCTGAGCTGAGAGACGCCTACTTGAGAGATGGACCCCAAGTTAAAGAGGTCAGAGGATCCCTTGGCAGGCTCAGCCACCAGAACTTGATGACCTTAATACCTCAAAGGTGTGAAGGGCTGGAGTTGGGGACACACGAGGCCTAGACACCAAAGGGATGACAACTATACTGTCCTGCCACAGACATGTGGACACACATGAAAAGCCAGAGGGTACCCAGGGACCTAAGGAAGTAGATGAGTCCCTGGAGAGCCTGACAGTAAGGGGTTCCAGGCTTAGGGATATGCGATGGAGGGGCGAATCAGTCAGATTTACTATGGCCAAATTTGGTTGTGACTCCAGGAAGCACCTTCTCTGAGAGAAGCAAGGGCCCCCAAAATCCTGACCTCTTGTCATGGTGGTACTAGTGGCAGAGCCCCTGAAGGCTCTTTCCTCTCAGGGCCTCTCAGTAAACCAGACAGTATCAGTGAGTGGCCTTGATAACAGGAGAGCAGCTGATAGGGGAGCCGGCTTCCCTGTGGCAGCCTGTCCTCTGCCCGCAGGGATCTCTGGGGTACACTTCCCAAGGCGGTCCTGTGGGTTAGTGGAGTTACCCGTCCTAAACCTGGCTGCTTGGGGGAGTTGCTTTAGAGTCCCATGGGGCGAAGAAGAGGCTCTACTATGGATTTGACTATGGCCAACTTTGGAGGTTCAGTTCTTCAGTGATCAAGGGCCCCTAAGTAGTGGGGAATGGTTTCCACCCTGGTGGCATTGGTGGTATGAGTGACAGAGTCAGGTGGAATGGGGGAGGCAGATTCAGGGACTGACTGGTTTCCCTGTAGACAGATGGGCAGGGACAGCTGCTGGCAGAGGGTGGAGACCTTAGGGATGAGCAGTGCTGGGGTGGGAAGGTGGGGGGTTGGGGTGAGAAAGGAAGCCTGGGGGTTAGGGTTGGGGCTTCTTGGTCCTGGGATGAGATGAGGAGTGTTTTGTGTTTGTTTACTTTATATTGAGACAGGGTCTCCTATAGCCTATGCTGGCCTCGAACTCACTATATAGGGGAGGATGGTCTTGATCTTTCTGCCTCCACCTTGAGACTGGGATTACAAGTGTGTGCCACCATGTGCAGTTTATTTTGTGCTGGGGATCGAACCCTGGGCTTCATGTGTATTGGGCAAGCACTGTATCAAGCTATATCCCTAGCCTGAGATGGGGATGTTTAAATAATAGAGTCTGTACCCCTATCACCTCCCTATTCCTCTGAATCAGTCCTACCTCTTGATTAGCCCTTAAACCTCAACTCCCTTCCCAGGCCTGAACAAGTGGACTCTGGAACACTCCACTTGGATTTACACCTCATCTGTTTTGATTGCCTAGAGGTGGTGGCCGGGAAAATACAACCCGCCTCCTTTCCCTCCAATTTCTACCCTTGCTGGGATGGGAAGGGAAATGGGTTATGATGTAGGCAGATAGGAAGGAGAAATGGATGCTAACATTGATGCAGCTTCCTTCAACCATCCCTGCCCCCCCCCCCGCGCGCCCCGCAGCCCACTTCTAGCCCAGTTCCCCACTTGCCATTCAGAAACTCAGACCCTCAGGTGCCCTTGCCCAGCCTCTTGAATAACCTTGGAAGAAATAAAATTAAGGAGGCAGGCTAAGTAGGAGACTTGGAGTCCGCTGAAGGAGTTGAGACCAAGGATCCAAAACCGGGGGCCCTGAAAGGGAGAGGGGCTAAAGTACAAAGCCCCAGAAGTGGGATGTGGAAATGAGCTCAGTAGCTCAGCGCCTCGAAGCAGCGGGGAGCAGGGCCCACAGGTGCTGCCTTTGCCGGAACGAGCTGGGATGACCTTGGCGAGGTCGCCTTTCGCTTTGAGCCCCAGTTGCCCCATCTGTCAATTGGGGATGAAAAGACCTGCTCTGACTGGCTTGCAGAGGGCCATTCGGACGTGAACATCCTTTGAAAGGTTGAAAGGCGCCGTTAATATTCATTTTTGCGGTACCTTGCCGGCTCCGAGGCTAGGCTTTGCCCTGGGCAATTGCCTGGCTTCAGTTAGCTTCCTGCTAGGAGACGGAGCCCCCTCCTCCAGAGCAGCGCAGATTCCCGCGCCCCCGCCCCTCCCACCAATCACTCCCACTCCTCGTTCAGCGCAGGGTTACCAGCCCCGGGTCTTGGAGAGGGGCGGGGACGCAGCACGCTGGCCTGGGGGTCGGGACCGAATCTGACCTGCCGGCGCCGGTTTCTGCTTCACCTCCTGCCCCACCCCCCAGCGCCCCGGGATGCCGTCTGGAGCCCGAATGCCCCACCAGGGGGCGCCCATGGGCCCCCCGGGCTCCCCGTACATGGGCAGCCCCGCCGTGCGACCCGGCCTGGCCCCCGCGGGCATGGAGCCCGCCCGCAAGCGAGCAGCGCCCCCGCCCGGGCAGAGCCAGCCACAGGGCCAGGGCCAGCCTGTGCCCACCGCCCCCGCGCGGAGCCGCAGGTGAGTGCCCCCCCCCCAGCATGGAAGGGCGGGCAGGGGCGGGCAGGCAGAAGCCTCAGGGACCAGGTGGGTGAGTGATGGGTATGGGAAGCCAAGAAAGGATGTTAGCAGCGACCAAGTCATTCTGGCTTGGATACTCTCTGGGGAGGGCTTAGGGGGCACTGGTCTGGTTCTTTTGTGTGCCCACGCTGGAGACAGGCTGCGATAGTCAGCTGCCAGTGTCCCTTCTCTGCACGCACCTCTCGCTCTCCTGCTTGTCACCTGCTAAATCCTTTTTCCAGTCCTTTACCCCAAGTTCTAGGTGATGCTTTAGTCTTTGGGGAGAGAGGCAGGGCTGGCAACAGACTGAGGGCTGAGCTCTAGTGGTGTGTTTTCTAAAGAGTGGTCCTCCGGTACCTCCCTGCCAGTCCCGAATCCCAGGCTGCATCAGAGTTCCTCTAGACCTCCACAGTCCCTGTCTTGGCAGTGGGTGTGAATAGGCGGTATAATTCCTCTGAGGGACCAGCTCTGCCTCCAGGCCACCGGACCAGTTTATTTCCTAGTCTGAGAAGTTGGTGGCACTCCTGTGGCCCCAGATGACTGTTGGCAAGATCCCTATGGGCCTCAGTACTTAGCCAAACACACATGCTTCTTTTTGCACAACAGATGGGTTCTTATACAAGGTGTAATATCAATTTTATTAAGTAGTTTTTACACATCAAGGAAAATCATTTATAGGTGTCCCTTGATAAATTATTTTATAAAGTGAATCATTATCTTCTATAGCAAATAACTCTTTGACTTGTGTATAAGTTAACAGTTTTGTGTGGACAATTTATTTGAAATCCTTTCATGAGAGGCTTGCCCAGTCTAAGAATGGGTCGGTTTTTTTCTTTAATGAGTGGCTTGCCTGGGCATAGAATGGATTTCTGAATAGGGAGGGGGCAGTGAGTGGGACTGCCACATGGGGGCAGTGTAGAGCTATCCTCTAGGCTGTGTGCACTCTTGACTAGCCAACGGTTTTCTGGGTTGCTTTTGAAACAGAAATTCCAGGTGCAGTCTACCATAGGTCCAGCCACTTTGGTTCCAGTGTTGAGTCACACTCACATAGAACACTCCTGCACATTTCCAGGGTCCTTGTGAATGTGGTGTGTCCCTTGGTTGGCAAATGGTCCAAGACCACAAGCGCCTCCTGCCCTTAAACAGTCCCTTCCAAGCCCAGAGCGGCAGGAGTGCCAAGTCCCACCAGCTTCACACCACGACGGCTCCCGGAACCAGGTGGAAGAGTCATCTCTCCTCTTCTTGGAGCTCGGGCTCTCTTGGGCATGGACCTCCTGCTTGGCAGGAGAAGAGGGTCCTCAGAGGCTGTCTCTTCTCTTCTGTCCTCCCCACCTCCCAGCTTTCTGCAAACATTTCTGCAGTCACCTTTGGCAGCATCTCCTCTTTCCCTAGTTCCTCCTAAGTCTGAATTCCTCTGGCTCTGAGAATGTGTGTGCTGAGGTGTAAGGTGTGGAGGGTGGGGGAGTCCCAAGCCAGAGAAAGGACCAGTCGCCCTGCTTTCCAATGGAAGTAAGAGCTCCACATCACGGCTATAGCCCTCAGACGGGCAGACAAACAGGCTGTGGGAACCCCAGCCAGGCGGGCGGAGATGTCGGGATAATTTAGCAGGTGGCCTCGTTACTCCCAGATCTGTCGCCATGGTAACCTGGTTTTTTCTTTTAAAAATGTACAGTGCCAAGAGGAGGAAGATGGCTGACAAAATCCTCCCTCAAAGGGTGAGTGCCTTTCAGAGCAGCCCCCCAGCCGGCCCCCACCCTCTGCTGCTCCGCCCCCCTCCTCCCTCAGGAGCAAAGCTTTGGGCTCAGCTTCATAGCCACTTTCACTTTTTGTTTTAAAAGCTCATTAAGAAGTGAGGCTCCCCATGTGAGAGGGCAGGGCAGGACTGAGGAAAGAAGCTGGAGAGCCATGGGGGAGGAGGGGCAGAACACAGGGCCTGAGGTTAAGGGGTTGAATGCCAGTAGTCTGAAGGCATAAAGGCATGGGACAAAGAAGGGACAGGAGACTGCTAGGTAAAGGGAACAGAAGGTAGCAGGAAGTCCTGGACATGGGAAAGGGCAGCAGGTGTGGGGCCCTTGAGGCCACCAAGTCTACCTCCCACTGTCTTAGGGAGGTGTCGGGATGAGGCTAGGCTCTTGTGCCTGCTGGGCTGCCGGTTGCTGCCTCCTTCCCTGGTGATGAGATGCATGGATTTTCCTGGAGGGAGAAGCAATCTTTATCCACACACAATGAGGCTATAAAATAGAGTCCCGGGGATAAGTCCTGTCCGCACTCGCAGAATTCCACACCCTGAAATCAATCGGACAGCTCCCCTACATGTCCTTTGTGTCCTGTGATCACAGAACAGGCACACATTCTGCATTGCCTGACTGAGCCCTGCTGCGACCCTGTTCCTCCTCCAGATTCGGGAGCTGGTCCCTGAGTCCCAGGCTTACATGGACCTCCTAGCATTCGAGAGGAAGCTGGATCAAACTATCATGCGGAAGCGAGTGGACATCCAGGAGGCCCTGAAGAGGCCCATGAAGGTGCCTTAGTGTGGGAGCAGGAAGAGGGCTCTAAGTCCAGGAGGAAGCAGGGTACCCCCGGGTGGGTGCACACAGCCCTTGTCCTGTGATACACTTTATTTCTACAGCAAAAGCGAAAGCTGCGCCTTTATATCTCCAATACTTTTAACCCTGCGAAGCCCGATGCTGAAGATTCTGATGGCAGCATTGCCTCCTGGGAGCTGCGGGTGGAGGGGAAGCTCTTGGATGATGTACGTCCTGGCCCAGGTCTCTCCAGGTGTCCTGGGGTGGGTATGGGCTGAGTCGAGGACATGTCTGTACTGGGAGTTGGGTCGTCAGCCCTGGCTGGGGTGGGTGGGCGGGCCTGGGGACAGTCTGGGTACAGAGGACTGCCTCTAAGCATACCACTTGCCTGCTGCCAACGTGGCCCATTCTGTGTCCATGGTCCCTGTTCTGCCCCCACAGTCCCTGTCACTTTCCCACAGCCCAGTAAGCAGAAACGGAAGTTCTCTTCCTTCTTCAAGAGCTTGGTCATTGAGCTGGACAAAGATCTTTATGGCCCTGACAACCACCTTGTGGAGGTAAGACAAGTTGTTTCTGCCCTTGAGTCCCCACCTTCCCGCCTACCCAAGGCCCCAAAGAAGCTGCAGATTTGGACTGAGGATCCTCCTAAAGTTCTCAGCCCTATCAATCCAGATGGGTCTGCGGGTGACCTAGCTCCCCCCCCCCCCCCCGCGACAGTGGCATCGGACACCTACAACCCAGGAGACAGATGGATTCCAAGTGAAGAGGCCAGGGGACTTGAGTGTGCGCTGTACCCTGCTCCTTATGCTGGACTATCAGGTTGGTTTTACCCCTCACCTGCATATACCACCCAAAGACCCCACTCTCTCTCCTTCCTACCCATCTTCTCTAGGAGTGCACTGCCAAGGACCAGAAGCCCCATGCCCCTGAATCCCACTTCTTCCCCCTTTAAGCTAATTCTCCTGGTGACCTTTTCCCAGCCTCCTCAGTTCAAACTGGACCCTCGCTTAGCCCGGCTGCTGGGGTTGCATACACAGAGCCGCTCAGCCATTGTGCAGGCACTGTGGCAATACGTGAAGACCAACCGGCTGCAGGACTCCCATGACAAGGAGTACATCAATGGAGACAAGTACTTCCAGCAGGTAACGGATGTCCTAAGTCCCAGGGTCTGGGAAGCAGGCATAGTGACCTAGCATCAGCCCCTCCCAAAGGGAGCCAGCTCTCTTGCTGAATCCCTGAATACCAGGAACTGAGTCAGGGTTATGGCCTCATCCAGGGTCTCATCCAGGCTCTTCCACAGTCTGTTTAGCTGCTTCCCAAGGGAAACATATCTGGGACCCTCCTGGGGGGAGGGGCAGTGGGCAATACCATCCTGTAATGTAATCTTCCTGGTACCTGGAGTTGGGATCCCTGGGGTCCCAGTCCTGGTCTAGACTTGGGGTAACCTGCGTTGCTATCCTTCCTGCCTCTGGTTCTGTCTTTGGTGTGAGGGGTGGCAAAAGCTGTGCCATCACATGTAGCTGGCAGCTAAGAAAACCAGATTGTTGCAAAAATAATCTGGGAAAATTCTACCAAAGTAGAGTATTACTATTAGTGTATTTCAAAATAAACACAGCAGATAAATCTAAGTAGAAATAGTAGTTGAAATTTATTGAGCACTTACCATATCCCATTCCAAACACTTCTGTATTTTAATTCACCTGGTCTTCATGACAACCCATGAGATGGAGATTGTTAATATGTCCCCATTCTAGAGATGATGGCACCAAGACCCAAGGTGTTAAGTAACTTGTTCACAGAATGTGGCAGACAGGACTAACAACCAAACAGGCGTACTTAGGGCCCCTAGCTGGCCTCCCCATTAGTCATGCCTGTTTCTCCACCTCTAACCTGGCTCATTGCCATGAGCACCCAGTAATCTGACTCTCAGTTTCTTTTGGTCTTCCCAGAATGGAAGTATCCAAATTAGTTACTGTCTCTTCACACATGCACAAGAATGACCCCCTCAATAATCCCGCTTAGATTTTCACACATGCACAAGAATGACCCCCTCAATAATCCCGCTTAGATTTTCACACATGCACAAGAATGACCCCTCTCAATAATCCCGCTTAGATGTTCACACATGCACAAGAATGACCCCTCTCAATAACCCCGCTTAGATGTTCACACATGCACAAGAATGACCTCTCTCAATAATCCCGCTTAGATGTTCACACATGCACAAGAATGACCCCTCTCAATAATCCCGCTTAGATGTTCACACATGCACAAGAATGACCCCTCTCAATAATCCCGCTTAGATGTTCACACATGCACAAGAATGACCCCTCTCAATAATCCCGCTTAGATGTTCACACATGCACAAGAAT